GAAGAGTGGGCTAGACACTAAGCCCAGTGAAAGCATCCCACTCACATAAGCCAGACGCCTCTGGGCTATTCAGGTTTTACCTCTCCTTTACCCCTTAAGCCCAATTAATTGCCTGAACTACAGATTCGGGTTAGTTATCAGGTTTCATATCAAAGCTTGCTTCTCCCTTCCATCTTTGCTTCTGGTACCTTCATACAGCTCGGGACCTGTGATTATTCAGAATATAAGTGCCATCAAAGTAATGACCACCATTGCCATCACCTACCATGACTGACAGGATAAATGACCAAGGGTTATCTACTGATGAGTTAAATAGCCCACTGCTTAGCAATTCAGCCATGCTCCCATCCCTCCCATTGTACACTCCCATCATCTCAGCACATGAAATTGTTTCCTGTATCTATGTCTTCGTTGACAGTGTTCTCCACATGGAATGCCCATCCTCAATTAATCACTCAACTAATATTTAAGGTGTTTCCAAGTTTCCCCTCTTCTCTGAATGCTTGTCCTGACCCACTTGCCCCAGTAGAACTGACCCCTTAGTCCTTTATCCCCTAACTGAAACCCAAAGCATAAGGGGGTCTTCAAAATGCTCATGGAAAATGTGTATTATTTAAAAAAAAAAAACACTGTGAATAGATTGCTAAAATTTTTTGCACCAAAATAAACTCATACTAACTTGTTATAACATGTCTAAACAGGACACAGTTTGAGGCGCTAAGAAAGATAAGACATCAGTTTGAGGAGGAAAGAAAAAAAAAGACAGTTTGAAAAGGGCTCCTACCAAAGTAACATGAATTCTGCTAAAATTGAAGCAACAACAAACATCAAATTTAAGGTGAAACTTAGGTGGAAGAATGGTGAAATCATTGATGCTTTATGAAAAGTTTATGGGAGAATGGCCTCTGTTTCAATCTTTTGGAACAGTTTGTAGAGAATGGGTATCAGTTCCCCTTCGAAGGTTTGGTAGAACTCTGCAGTGAACCCATCCGGTCCTGGGCTTTTCTTTGTTGGGAGCCTTCTGATAACAGCTGCAATCTCTTTTATTGTTATTGGTCTGTTCAGATTTTCTATATCTTCTTGGCTCAGTTTTGGTAGTTTTTATCCATCCAGAAATTTACCCATTTCCTCCAGATTTTCAAATTTGTTGGCATATAGTTGTTTATAGTAGTCTAGAATGATTCCTTGTATTTCTGAGGTGTCAGTTGTAATATCACCTTTTTCATTTCTAATTTTTGTTATTTGGGTCTTCTCTAAAGATAATTTCCTGTATTTTAATTTATACGGACACTAAACTATTGCTAAACATCAGTTGTACCATAAATATTTTATCCTGATTGATGTGTTTCCAGATTCTGTGCTTAATTTTTTTCCTGAGAAATTGACATTTCCACCAATGTTGTCATAAATAGAGGATATGTGTCATCTTGATATAAAAGAGTAAATGATACAGTTTTAAAACTTATTTTTATTTTTTATTGAGATATCATTTACATATCATAAAATTCACCCTGTGAAGTATATAATTCAGTGGTTTTTACTATGCATAAAGTTTTGTTACCATTACAACTATCTGGTTCCAAAACATATTTACAATCCTTAAAAGAAAACTGTACACATTAGTATCATTCCCCACTATCCTCTCTCCCCATCCTCTGGTATCCACCATTCCACTTTCAGTCTCTATATACAATGTGTCTAGTCTGTAGATTTCATATGAATGGAATCATCATTCTAAATCACATATACTATTTAGGTATGATCTTGAGCATTTCAACTATAGGTGAAAGTTTTATTTAACCAACTCACACAGATCCTCACTTGTTAGTTCGTGTGGATGATTCTTAAAAACAAAGAGAAATAAAGTTAGGAAGCGAGGAACCTGGCCAGCAATAAGAACCAAAGTGAAGATTTTATTTTGATTAAAACATCTCATTGTTGAGGTATCCAAAAGGGTTTGAAAACACATTAAAGAAGTATGGCAGGTGAGAAAATACAAGAATATGATCAGCATTTAGTGAAAACAGTTAAAGAGAAAGAACAAAATCAAAGTTGTTTAAAGCAACTTTTTAAATAAGAAAAATCAGGCTCCTCGGAGCTCTTTTTCAACTATGCCCCATTACTGGGCATGTTCTCAATAGTCCACTTTTAGCATGGATCCTGCCAAGTCAGTTTAGCCAAAATCCTCCCACCTTGGTATCTGATCACTCTTGATATCTGATCAAATTTCCTCATCCCCCACCATCTCCTAGGTGATGCCTGATCACCCTGGCCTGCCTTCCGCAAGAATCCCGTTAGATAGGTTTAGCCAGGATTCCCCATTACCTCTGATGCTCTTTCTTAGAAATTTTCCATCCAGTGACACCCTCACCCCACTACTGCTCCTTAGCTATAAATTCCCACTTTTCTTTGTAGTATTTAGAGTTAAGCCCAATATCTCTCCCATACTGCAAAGCTCCATTGCAGTAGTCCTTATACCTATTGTGATAGTTCTAAATAAAGTCTGCCTTACCATTTAAAAA